TCGTGTGGGATAACGCGTTGCTTCAGTCTCCACAGCTTCAAATCAAACCTAGTTCGCGACTTTAGCGACAATTTGTCCAAGCCACTGTGACGTCAAGAAAGTCTGCCGGCACGCGTTTCTCCATGGACATGCCACCAGTTATTAAAATGTGTGGCCTTGACATTCTTGGCCAAAATACTCCGACGACAGGATTCTCCGTGGAAAAATTCAGCCGCGAACCAGGATATGTTATTTGAGGTTCCGCTTACTAACTGCCATCTGTGACAAACATCTCCTTTTAATTTCATCACCCGTATTATGGCCCCAGGCTGCTGTGGTTCAAATGGGGCATTCCCCGCGGCTTGCAGGAGGACATGAACACACGGGAGATCGCATCGTTTCGTGGTGAGACTTCCTGTTTGCGGAGGCCATAAGAGCTTTATGAGCTCAAACCTTTTACCGGTAGCAGTAAAGCTCAAACCATAAGGTTTGAGCTTTACTGCTACCGGTAAATATTCCAAGGTAGTTCCTGCTACACCTGCGCATCGGCCGTCAGTGAGCTTCCATTGCAAGCGATGCCGTCAGCGCGGAGAGGGCACAGCAAGCAGTGCTGGTATCCATTGGTTGGAACCGGACGCCAGGAGAGGCGTGAAAGGGTGTGATCTGATAGGAAGATAAGGAGGTGATAAAATGAGAGAGGAGAAAGAGAGAGAGAGAGAGAGAGAGAGAGAGAGAGAGAGAGAGAGAGAGAGAGAGAGAGAGAGAGAGAGAGAGAGAGAGAGAGAGAGAGAGAGAGAGAGAGAGAGAGAGAGAGAGAGGGAGAGAGAGAGAGAAAGACGGGGACCGGGGACCGGCCATGTCACGACCGCGCCGCGCTCGACGCCGGCGCGGTCCTGGAAAGCCAGCAGGCGTTGCCAACAACAACGTCTGGATCCAGACCTTTTAAACAATCATCCTGGTACGTGTCAGTACCTGAGACAGCCCAGACGACTCCTGTCGAGGACTGAAGGCTGGGCCATGGGCCATTGGCGCCAGCTGCAGCCGGGAACTCGGGTGATCGCCGGTCCCTGGGCTCAGCGTAAACATGCAAGAACTTTAAGAGTAAAATGCCGGTAGAAAGGCATTGTGTAGCGCCCATGCATGACGGTAGTTGTAATTCTGGAGCTCGAATTGGTGAGATCAAAAAATTTTCAATCTGCGATGAAGCCGCTGGTAAATTTGGTTTAAGCGATTTGACTGTTGTGATGCAGTACATACGATGCGATCACGTCCATCGTCATCTTGATGTAAAATTCTGATGACGGAACGTTTATTTCTTACAAGTCTAACCCTTAGAGTAAGCGTACTGTTTGATGATTTTAACGCTGAGTTTAAGTATGAGCTGTGGTTGCAACATGCCATCTTGCCTCAGTTTTCGCTTCACGCCTGGAGTACAGGCACCCCGTCCACCTTCATTCACACGTGTGCCATTGAACGCAGCCAAAGTGAGACTGACTCAGGCGGCGCCCGACCTCCGACTCTTTCACGCTTACGCTCCAGGGTGCCCTGAAAGGTATCGAATGTTGTTTATTCAAATGCAATTAAGACGCCTTCACTTTTTTTTGCCGGCGGTCGGAAAATTCCCCCGCGGTCGGCTAACACGCCGACATGATGTTCGTATCATTAATATATATATATATATATATATATATATATATATATATATATATGTACATGAATATATTGACAGCATATCCTCAATTCAGACGATAACTGCTGCGCTGTGGGAACTAAGTGGAGTTAAAGTCATGGTTTCTTGACCCCGTGAATAAGTCTCCGGCTGGTTTTGTTTATGCTCGAGTGCCAGCTGTCCTCGGGCCTGCAATCACCTGGTCGCTCCGAGTGACGCCATACGCGACGAGGTGTTTTTTTTTTTTGTGGCCCTCCCCTGACTTTCATCATTGTCTTGGCCATGACCACCGATCCTCTCGTGGAGGGCAGCCTCTCCGAACAGTGCCATGATCCCTCTATTTGAGGACATCCTCTGGGTCCGTTCCTTGTCCCCTTCATTGAATGATGTAGTTTGAGACCACGCCTTCTCCTTCACCTTTGATGATGGCCTCTGGGTAACAGTGTCTTTCTTTCTCCCCGTGAGGGCATCCTCTGGGGAAGTGCTCTCATCTCTACGGAACGCAGTGATGCTGTTGGACGAAACGATCTGTTTCGTGCCACGAATTTGTACAGCTGTTCAGCCGGGCGTGCCGCCGAATGACGTCAGCGGTGAATGTGGCCCTAGCCGGACGGGAGTCCACTAGGGCGAGAGAGCACAGGGTCCGCGGTCGTTATCGATGCATTGGTGGCTCACAGGCCAGATGCTAAATGATCATCAGCTGCCGAGCTGCAGGAAATGTAAGTTTGCCTTCACTCTATGTCAAGCTCAGAATTAATGTGTAAAATATATTTAGAATTCTAGGAATGCAAGCGTTTGATCACTATCCGGCTTAGAACGCAGCGCATGGTGTGGCTTTTGCTGGACGTCGCTTCTGTGAACCATGTTGCCTTCCGTCCGTTCAATGAGAGGAGCCAAGACACAGACGTGACTCTGAGAAATACGACGGTGTCCGTTTGACCGCACCAAATTTTGCTCGGTCAATGCCTTCATCCAAATGCTGGATTCAGTGGTCACTCAGCGCCGCGGACGTCAGAAGGCTGAGCTTCTCGGTAGTGCTCCAGAAGCGCCGCAGCTGGCGCGCGCTGACGCTCTTCCGCTCAGCTTCAGTCGGCGCTGGTCATGAAGGACGAGCGGGCAACGAGGCGTGCTAGGCTGAGCTGATATGTTTACTTTGATAGCTTAGAAGCGTTGGGTTTGTTTGAGTTGTGAGTCAGAGTCGTGCGAATTTAGTGATGTTTTTGGTGCAACGGTTTATCTACTGCAAGGTCCACCTCCCAGCAGGTGCAAAGGCAGTGGTGAACGGTTACCACCGGCATAAGCATAATCACATGATTTGGTGCACAGTGGAAGAACTACGAAGGACATTTTTAGCCGCAAAGTGGGCTCATTACGCCACACATTTCACGCAGACTATCAAACAGTAAATTATCACGGCACATTTAAAAGCGGCATTAGACCACTGATGCTCTTTTCCAACGCATCGCTATGTATAGCATTCGTCAGAAAATTCAACGAAGAGATCTGTTCTCCTCACCCTCACCCCTCCCTCCACCCTGTCACTGAATCTGCCACTTTTGATATGACTTGAGCCCTGTCAGAAACGTCCCCTCAGCACTCGCCAGCAACCCATTTCCACTCGGCTGACGGCCCCGCGGCCGCCGCCGTCCGCTGTTCTTGGCCCGGCTGCTGGCAGCCATCTGTTGCATTCGAGGCGTGGAGAGCTGAAGCCACGGCAGGCGGCCGTATCCAAACCCGGCTCAGCCCGGGCGTTCGTACGCCGCTGCCGACGTCAGAGGTCAATCGATGGGGCAGCCTCGTCACTCAGGGCCAATCAGGCGCATCCGGACACTGCCGCCAGCCCGCCCGGCGCCGCGGTGACGGCACTGCCCCATCCCGGAGCGGTGACGCGCCCCGCCGCCCGGGAGATCGGTCGCCCCTGCCCGGCCCGGCCCCAGCCAGGCCGGCCGTGCGTAGCGTAGATGTAATTTAGCGGCTCAAACTGACTCGATCGCACCGATTCTATTTCCGCAGCAAGGAATGTGTGCCGATCGGTGCGGTCGGCCCCGGTCGGCGGTCAGGACGCCAGGCCTCGTCCACGAGACCGAGCGCGTGTGGTCGAGGCCTCGCCCACCCACCGGTGGCACGGCCGAGCGCGTGTGGTCAAGGCCTCGTCCACCCACCGGCGGCACGGCCGTGCGCGTGTGGTCGAGGCCTCGTCCACGGCCCCGCTCGGCGGTCCTGGCGCCAGGCCCCGTCCACGTGCCGGCGGCGAGACCGAGCGCGTGCGGTTGAAGCTCGTCCATCCACCGGTGGCACGGCCGAGCGCATGTGGTCGAGGCCTCGTCCACGCGCCGGCGGCCGAGCGCGAGGCCTCGTCCACGGCCCCGCCCGGCGGCCAGGCCCCGTCCACGTGCCGGCGGTGAGACCGAGCGCGTGCGGTCGAGGCTCGTCCACCCACCGGCGGCGTGGCGAGCGCGTGCGGTCCAGTCACGCCCTGCAGCCGTGCCGAGGCATCTCTCTGTGACGTTCACCCGGGAGTGCTCTGGCATGCGGGGTCGGGAAAGCAGCCAACCTCCGATGGAAAGACTGACTTTGGACGTGACGGTCAGAGGGATGTGTACTTCCTCCATTGGTCTTTGCTGGTGACACGATGAGGTGAACGGCCTCAGCGAGGTGTTTTCGGAACACGAACTTTTTCTGTGGGTTCTCAAGACCATGGGCGCGGCCGGCCTCGGTAAGGGGGACATGGTTGACGAAGAACTTAAGGGGGTGGGCACGTATCCCCTGTGTTCAGCTGCCGGTGCCACTACCTATGACTTCAGCATGCTCCCAATGCATCGGCCAGTACTGATCAAGATAATTCCATATAGCTTTGGAAATTCAAGGCCATCACCTAACGGTTTGCTCAAGATCATGTATGAGCAACGGTTATAAATGCAGAGAAAGAAGATACGTATGGATTTTTGTGGAGAGAGGGAGAGAGAAGAAGGAAAGCAAATAATCTCAGCGGATAGCGCAACACGCTTTGACGATGCTCGTCAGGGAGGGATGAACAACTGCATTCGCATCCGTGATGTGGCGAAACAATTCTCGGCATATTTGTTCGCACAAAATTGCGAAATTTTTCATGTCACATACCTGTTTATGTGTAGTTCAGTTTATCTCCAGGATAACAACACCCTTGCGTTCACAGCTTGGCGCTGCTTCATCAGTTGGTTTCTGTTCGAGCCAGCATTTTCCCTGCCCCGCTCTATTCGTTTCTCCTCGACGAGTCACTCGTCTGTCCTAGTGTCATCGTCGCCCGCTGTTCCACCACCCACCCCAGCCCGAGCTTCGTGGGCCTCGGCTGACGTGTCCCCTTGCGTTTCAGTTCACCCTGAAGACGGGACCAGTGCGGAACGGCATGCGCATCATGACCATCTACCACAAGAACGCGTCGGCCAAGCACTGGTACGCCGAGATGGACCAGTGGGCGGCTGTGTTCCCGGGCATCCCGTCGGCGCTGCCGCCGGGCAGCACGCCGGCCGGCGGCGGGCCGCCAGCCGGGCCCACGGCGGCGGCGGTGACGGCCGCCGTGACAGCGGCGGCGGCCGTCTCCTCCAACATGGCGGCGGGCCAGGGTCGCGAGGCCGGTAACGTGACGGTCGCGGCGGCCGCCGGCAACGGCACCCGCCCGCCGGAGACCGGCGCTGTGACCTCCCCGCCGCCGGCGGACGCCACCACGGCCGGACGCCCGTCGCCGGAACAACACGCCTGGAGCGAGGAGTACCGCACAATGCCAACGCTTGGCTTCTACCAGAACGGCGCCTACTGCTGCGGCGTCGAGTCCGTGGCAGACTACGCGACGCACGGCGCCCAGATTCCGCCCTCCTGTCGCTGCAAAGAGACGGAGCGCAGCGACATGACGAGACCGTCTTGCTCGGTCAAGCCTTTCGCGATCGCCGGCGATGAGATGAGCGCGGTGTGGTCGCGCGGCTGCCTCAGGGTCAGGCAGGGGTTCCTGATGGATCTCTTCGCGCTGCGCGACTTCCTGGCCGCCACCGTCGTGTTTCAGTTCCTGGTCATGATGCTGGGCGTCGTGCTCGGCCTCAACATGCCGGACAGCAAGGGAGACGACTCGGACGACGAGGGAGGAGACTACTAGTCGAGGGAGGACACTACCAATCGAACGAGGACACTTCTAGTCGCGTCGGCCAGTAGGTGGACGGCACGGGAACGTAGCCGCTGGCGGCGGCGACGGCGACGTTGACGACGACGACAGCTTGTCAGGGAAGCGTCGAGGTCGACGACGAAAAGGCTCAGGTCGGCGGCTGAGCTGGCGACGGTGACGACGGAGCGACTACTTGCTTGAAAGTGACGCACCGCGGATGATGGGGCCACGCAGCGTCGGCGCTGTTCAAATCGTTGCAGCAGCTGTCGCCAAAGACGGTGATGTATATGTGATGCACTCAGCTGCGGGGAGGTGCATCCAGTAGGAACCGTACGGCGCTATGGTGGCCGTAACCGAGACCCACGACCGGATGGAGAGGTGATCTCTAGCCGGCGTCCCGCAGTGCTTCTAGGAACAGCCTGAGGAGTGACGGTGGCGGACGGAGCCGTGCGGTGTCAGTGCCGGTGCCGGCGGGAGAACAGACCTTCCGGGCGGTGAAACGTATGCATTGTCAGACCGGCGCGGAGAACTGTAAGAGGAGTACGGCCAGTGCGGCGATAGCCTTGGATTTTAGGACATGTTCTGCCGATAACACAAACAATGAAATTGGATCATTGCATTGGCGTCAACGGCGCACGATGCATTGGTTGCGCACGAACTGGGCGAAATGTACAGCATAGTGTGCACACACCGATGTCTCTGCACTGTGTGTGGCATACCGTCAATAAACCACCGAGATTCGGGCGGGTGCGTCAGCTCCGCTCGCGGCCACGGACCGTCGCCGCGCGCCGGGGGCGCTCAGCGGCGACGAGCTGGCTGTACTCCGGTGTGTCGCCCGCGGGACGACAGCGGCCCGCTCGCCCGTCAGCTCGCGCGCCGGCGGCGCTCAGCGGCGACGAGCTGGCTGTACTCCGCCGTGTCGCCCGTGGTACGACAGCGGCCCGCTCGCCCGTCAGCTCGCGCGCCGGCGGCGCTCAGCGGCGACGAGCTGGCCGTGCTCCGGTGTGTCGCCCGTGGTACGACAGCGGCCCGCTCGCCCGTCAGCCCGCGGCGCCGGCGCGCGGGTGTGATCCTGCATAATGAGAGCGCCCGTCGCAAATGCGAGGATCCGCGTCAAACGTGAATCTTCCCGGAGGAGGGAAAGCGGATGCAGTGACAGTCACTGCTGAAATATAAATCACTGGTTCGACGACACGGGCTTAGGCATTTAGAGCTAACTGGATCACATGAATACATCTCATCAGGCGACGGTCAGGCGTCCGCGCGAGACGCTCGCAAGTTCCGTGATGGTCGCTGAAGACACTTACTCTGCGCTCAATGCGACTATACATCTTGTTTACATTAGGTAGCTTTTTGATGCGTTTTTAAGCAGGGGCTGACCCGATATGAACGAAATTTTTGGCGTTATAGCTTCTAAGGCTGAAAATAACCGTTCTTCGGTATGCCAGAAGGTACACTGGCTACACACAGTTATCAGGCTACCACCGGGATGTAGCGCTATGGGAGTACTCGATGTTTCGAGCTGCGCTCATGGTCGGCACTGCTGATGACGTCACCTACAGGCTACCACCGGGATGTAGCGCTATGGGAGTGCTCGGCGTTTCGAGCTGCGCTCATGGTCGGCACTGCTGATGACGTCACCCGCAAAAGTTCTGCGGACACCACTGCTGACGATGCTTAGGATGACTTTCCCGGCGCCACTGTGTTGCATTTTATTGCCCAGCCGGTGCGCGCTCGTGCTTAAATGGTTAGGTTATTTCATGTCAGCCCAAACAAAAAAAGGCCAATTTTTGATGCTCGACCTTTCGGGATTCCATGGAGTTTTGCTCAAGAGATTTTGTATAACTCTTAACAAAGTTCTGATAAGTTTAGGACGATTTGACCTACCGTTGTGCAGTGCAAGGCATTTTCCCACTTTTTCTGTTTGGAAAAATATAAGTTTCAAACGACAGCACACTGGAATATTACTTATCATACACCAAGAAATAACAAAGGTGTGATGCCTATTATGCACGGCTAAATTTCATTTGATAAGATGTTAAAAATATAAAATGTCGAGGTGTCCAAACTTATTTTGTAAGAAACATGCCATTCTAATTTCAAATGGATATGAGTTTGGTTTCTCCATACACAATTAAGCTAGAATCGACGTCGGAAAGTGATAATCTTCGCACCAGCTCGTCCAGCAAACAGGTCGTTTTGCGCGGGCCGCGACCGGCCGCCCCTCCCCCTCCACCCCTTCCCCCCCAAATATCTGTCCCCTAATGTCGGATGTCTGATGGGCTTCATGACTGAACGTGCAGGGCAACTGCTGATAACGTCTAAACTTTTGTGACTTGACTCCCAGCGTAAATACCTCTGCGCGGCATTATGTCCACGTGACGTTACTTCTACTCCACAAAACTTCTAACGCAAAAGCTTCGATGCGACATTGCTTCTCATGCATGAAGTCTTGCGCTACAAGGCTTATTACGCAAAAATTCCTATGTAACATCACTTCTGCACGACAGAATTTCCGATCCTGTGCAACAATTCTTCCAGTGCGAAGGCGCCTAACCCATAAGCTTATATGCGATAAAATTCCCGGTGCAAATTTCCACGCAATAGAACTTCAAATGCAAGAACTTCTAACACGTAAAGTTCTGTGTGAAAAAGATTTTAACGTATAGACGTCTGCGCGCCAAATGCTTTAACGGAATAAAGGCTCTACGTGACATAGCTTCGTAGCGACAAATTCTTCGACGCAAAGTCCAATGCGAAATTACTTCTTTGCAGACACCTCCAACACATGAACTATAACGTGACGAAATCTATGGCGAAAAAACATAGGAGCAACAACATTTATAACGCAAAAGCTCATATGTGTCATTTCTTTTAATGCAAAAGCTTCTAACCTATGCACTTTGCCTGCCAAATCTACCAACACGAAAACCTCCACACAACAGTAGACTGCTGACGCAAAATTCTCTGCGCGAAATTACGTCTAATGCAGGTACGGTAAATGCATAACTTTCTCCACGACAAAGCCCCGAACACTAAAAGTCATTGCGGACGAGCTTCATGTCATGCCAAATCTTCTTTGACCTTTTAGGCAAGGTCAATGCCAGCGTTAGCCAGTGAGAGAGATTGGAACATCCTTTTTTGCGTATGCTTCGTTGATCCCGGCACTGGGCCGACCGTTGAGGACTGACGACAACATCCTGATAAAGCATGCTGAAGCTACGGACGGTAATAACATGACCTCCCGACGTCTGTGTTTACTTGTTCCCTAGGTGCTGTGACGAGGTGAAGAGTGCATTGTGATTCAATCAGTCATGCTGAATTTCACTACGCTCTTGAATCTACCATGACGTGTATCTACAAGATTAAATCAACACTCCGTTTGGAATAAGCGCAGACAAAAATGTTGCTCACCGTGAAGGCCAGCTGTGTTTGATGCTAATGCGCAGACAAAATATCCCACAGCTGGCAATGATATTGCTTACTTAATCATATTGATAGAACATCATGTGACACCCCGATTGAGATGTTATTTGAGGGACGCCAGACGATCACATGTGAGCCTCTCATGTTGCTCTGATAAACACATTTATCGCGACCCGCAAGCCAGTGCGGCACGTTCTTTGAGAATTTTGAAATGCGCCTTTTGTATAAATGTGGCCGAAATTACGCAGCACGGTACATTCCAGTGCGGCGAATTTCTCATGTCGCTCGGCATTGACTGGTACGACGCGGTTTGGAGGGAGACTGCAACGCTGACGCACGCAACAGCACGTCATTAAGTGCCGAGGCGGCCGCACTCATGCTTGTCAAACGAGCGTGAGATTTTGCACACGTTTATTTGAAGGCGTGAGGCTTCCTATCAATAGCTGCACATAACACTCCTGCCCAAGAGGCATGTTTCGACCGCTCGCGGAGTATCATGCATACGTACCCCTATCGTTATAGATTTGCATTAGTGTTGTTTAAATGTCCACGGATAAGATCTGATTTCCGCCATGTTGGAACATCAAAAACTTGTTATTTCAGAATCGCGCTATTCGGACATCGAGAAAGTCACGTGATTTGCATTTTCAATCCAAAGCAGTGTGACGTCAACCTGCATGCGTTAAAAGTTTTGTCTCTTATAAGTAACAGCGCGTAGACCTTTTTGCGCTGGAAACTTTGTCGCTTCGTCGCAAGTTTTGCGCTGGAAACTCCTGCATTCAAAGTCATGTCACGCCTAAATGTCTACGTGAGAGGTTTTGGTGTGTAGAATTAACATCGCATATAAATTTTCGTGTTGGAAGCTCTATGCCGGAAGGTTCTGGCATTGTACGTTTGCCTATTGAAATTGGGTGGAGCTTTAAACGCATCTTGCGGGAACATAGCCACCGTGGAATTTCCTCAGCCTGGGCAGATCGCAATGATACTGCCAGATCACGCCCAGCTGTCGACCAGCTCGGCACATGGAGCGGACTTCGAGCCATAAGGGAGCAGAGGCGGCGCTTTGGACGGCGCATACAGCGCACTTTGAGCCAGAGGGAAACAGATGCGGCGCTCTCCACGGCGCATCCAGCGCACCCCGGGCCAGAAGGGAGCAGAGGCGGCGCTTTGGACGGTGCATGCAGCGCACTTCGGGCCAGAGGGAAGCAGAGGCGGCGCTTTCGACGGCGCATCCAGTGCACTCCGGGCCAGAAGGGAGCAGAGGCGGTGCTTTCGACGCCCTGGCGCTCGCCACCAGCAGCACTATCACCTGTTGACCATGCGCAGGGTCACACATGCTGTCATCGGTGCAAAGCCTGGAAAGTACAGCAAAAGAGTAGCTCACTGACATGACAAACTCCGAACAGGCGTCGATGGATGAAACTAAGTCACCAATTTGGTGCGAATAAGCGGTCGTATTTAGCAGACGATGTATTTGGTTCGTTGGGCGGAAGAGCAATGCTTAGCAAAAGTGCGGTCGAAAAAGGAAGAATATACCATGTTTCCGCCATTTTAGAACTTGTTGAGAG